TTTGCTCACCAGAATTGAAGAAACAAGATTTTGGCTAAATTTTAATTATTGTAATTTAGGGCAGGAAAACGGATAAACGACTTCAAAATTGATTATACACATGTAGGCGGTGCTGAAACGCCAACTTTCCTTTGATTGGTCAACCAAATGTGAGCTCGTGACGTAGCCCTCAAAATAAGAGCCCTCTGTGGAGCAGCACGCAGGATTTGAACTATTATTATTATTTAATTATATATATATATTAACTAAGTTTACATATTCTGTCATCTGATCAGTTAGCAGGCTTACATCAATGAACACATGTTTGACGCACGCACTGTAAAGCTGTAAAGAGTAAAAATATTATAGTTATTGCGCATTCGTCTTATTCTTCAGTAGATCTGTGAATGATGTGTTTTATTAACTGATCATTAATAAGGACTAAGCTATTAATAACTGTAATTCTCCAGATGGAAAAGGCTTGATTAAAGGCCTGTCATTTTAAAGATTTTCTACAATTTAAGAAGAATGGGGTATATGCCGAAGCATGCTAATAGGACTTTTAATTTGCCAGTAACCTGGGTTAAGCACTTCTGGTGAATTGAATGCCAATGCAAAATCCGGTGCGTTTAAGGTCTGTTTTCTTTAAAAATCAGCGATCTCCACTAGCTGAGTGATATCCGATTTAAGGTGGTCTCAGATTGTACAAGAAGCACTGCATTAAAGTACATTCCCCCCACCATATCTTTATAATATGAGCATTTATTTTACCCCAGTATATTCAATGGAGCTTCTGCGTTAGCCTGCCGATTCTGACGGGAGCGTGCGAGTAAACGGCTTTTTGTCTCGTTTTACGCTTGAACAACTAAATAAATGCCAAAGTTTATTTAACTGATTGTATTTTAATGACATCACAACATCGATGCTGTATAAGGAACCGTGTAAAATGGGAAAAAGTTCACAATAACAGGTCACCGGAAGTGGATCAGCATGGGAACAGCACTAGCTCGGCATATACCCTATTAGGTTAAAGAGAACTTACTTCAGAATGGGTGAATTTCTGTGCGCATCACGCTCTTTACCAGCGCTCTTCCCTTTTTTATTAGTTCATGCAACAGTAAATGCATCAAATAAAATGCAAACAGTTGGCAGCAGCGAATAGTAGCCTATTTGCAATATGTATATGTGCTATATGGAACTGGAGCCGCTGTATAACATAATTTAGTCACAAAGAGCAAATGTCAAGTTCACTATTACTGCGACGCACAGACAGCGAGCTCATCTGTAAGTCTGAACTACAACACATTATTTATTATCAATTATACGTTTGTGTTTAATTAGTGAATTAGACACTTGCTTCATTAATCCAGGGTTTTAGAAAGTCTCGAAAGTCTTGTTGTGTTGGAAAACGCATGTGAAATAGGCATTGCAGCTGACCGTATTGTCTAGGCTTATTGCCCTTAAACTTCTTTTAGTTCAGCTCTTAAAAGAGTTGGCTACCTGAGATGTTGCTCGCGCACAGCCAACGATCCTATTGTGTTTCATTTAAACCCACTTATTTAAAATACTCAGCGCAGCCTGCCCTGGGCCTATAAATAAAGAAATAAATATTTATATGAGGCCTTCTTTTCATATGTATATTTATTATTATCATTCTTACTTTGTGTGTATTTGATGTTCTTCTGTGTTTTGACGCTCTTGTTAGTGCTTTGAGTTTGAGAAAAGCGCAATATAAATAAAGTGTATTATTTTATTATTATAGCTGAATCAACATCAATAGGATCCAATTCTTATGTGAAACTGTTTGTGCTGCCTGCCATCTTGACCAGGTCTCACTGGAAGAAGAGACAGTACTGTCACAATCTATATTCTGAACGTCTCTTCATGTCCATTATTATTTACATATTTAATCAATTTCCTCCTCTCTTGCATATGTCCTCCATCAAATCTGACATGTTCTCTAGAACTCTACAGTCTCCACATTAATCCTGTTCCTGAACTCCATTAATGTCAGTGTTGAGTTTAGTGGAGTGTGTCCTCACCTCAGTCTAGTTCACATCACTTCCTCCTCTCTGTTTCTCACACACACACACGTGTTTATTTGTCTCCACTAATATTTTAATGTTATATAAATGTCGTCTCTTCATATCTTCATCCTAGACTCCTCATCATTCTGTCTGAATATTTCCCTTGATAACAGATTTATTTCAGCTTTTCCTCCATCATCTGTCTTCCTCCTCTTCATCGTCTCCTGTGCAGATGGATCAGCAGTCTGATGTCCATGTGTTCCTCTATGTGCAGGTCTCCAGCAGAACTCGACCGTCCCTCTTTCTGATATAGACCATACAGAAGTGTGAACAGCTCATGTGTTAAAGCTCCTCTAGATGACCTGCGGCTGATTAAAGATGTTCAACTGATGCTGAGTCTGAACACATCAGCCCCAGGGTGAGCGCTGAGATGCCAAAATAAAAGTACAGGAGGTCACATTTAATATATTTACATTAATGCATATAAGATTTCAGATAAGGCGACACAGTGGCGCAGTAGGTAGTGCTGTCGCCTCACAGCAAGAAGCTCGCTGGTTTGAGCCTCGGCAGGGTCAGTTGGCGTTTCTGTGTGTTCTCCCTGCGTTTGCATGGGTTTCCTCCGGGTGCTCCGGTTTCCCCCACAGTGCAAAGATTACAGGTACAGGTGAATTGGGTAGGCTAAATTGTCAGTAGTGTATAAGTGTGTTTGGATGTTTCCCAGAGATGGGTTGCATCTGGAAGGGCATCAGCTGTGTAAAACATGTGCTGGATAAGTTGGCGGTTAATTCCGCTGTGGTGACCTCAGATTAATAAAGAGAATAAACCGAACAGAAAATGAATGAATGAATAATAAATATATTCCAGCTTCATTAGATCTCTGAGGCGACTGTACATTTCTTGAGTTTCTAAACTGAATTGAGATCGGGTGTCAGCTGATGTGTTCTGGACATTTTCCTCGCTCCACTTCAGAAAGCCGCCACTAAACCCTGAACCAGAACTGTTGGTTGCAGTTTGTTGCCATTATAAAGCTCAGAACTGTCAGTGTTTAAAGCTCATCGTATTAATCTAACAGAAAAGGTAAAAACATTTTCATAAATAACATTTTCATGAAATAAATAGATTATAAACACATCAAACTGAAAGAGCATGGAGTAATGTTTCAGAAGGAAGAGCACACTGCTGACTCCGCTTATTTTGATGGGTTCATGCTGAAGGAGTTCAATCGACATGCACATTAAACTGCATCTGGACACATATTGGCTGGACAGAAAGCACCAAGGCCTTAAATAAAAACGAATCTTCTTTCAGGGGAAGCTCGCTTGTATAAAAAGTGTAGAATGATGCTGAGTCGTCAAGAAAAGTCACAGAAGAACTGAAGCAACTGAGCAGAACACAGAACTGGGGGGTCAAGACTATTGCTCTCACGGACAGAGCCCTTCATGTACTGTATGTCAGCAGAAGTGCCGGCCGCTTGTGCTTTCACTTCAGTTAATAGTTGTTTATTTCTCTCAGTCCTGGAAGTCCTGCTTTAAGTTTGTGGCGTTCTGTTCAGTTTTATCTGTGAGGACAGAAGTAAGACAGGTACTCAGTCTTCTAGCACAGAGTCATTGTGTTTGAACTAGACTGGCTCATCACTAATGCCTGAAGCACATCTGACTCCATGTGTTTCTGAAAGGCTTCAAATAAATTCAACCCAACGCAGAAAACATTTACACAGTGATGTAGCCCAGATCAGTGAGGCCTGCTGGCCATGTTAGTGGATGTAAACTAAACACTGCATTTGTCCCAGCCCTCGCCTCTTGGATTTCTTGAAGCAGTAAGTGGATGAGGTTATAAGAGATTCACATGTGATTTAACAGTCAGAGGAATGATTGTGGAGCTGTGGAGCATTATTTACACATGCAGAAATGTGTGGTGAGAAAGAAGAAGAACTGGGAGAACTTTCAACATTTCTGTCACAAACCAAAGCTATCTGTCATGTCCCCGAGGCACTTCTCTGAAATTGCATGTAGAAACAAATTAATCAAATACACACAGTGTCTACATTTTTTTTCAGTATTACAACTATTTACTTGAGTTATTTTCTTGTGATAAATACAAATAAAATAAATTTAAAATAAAAAACAGGCTACAAAGTTACGTCCCTCAATATAAACTCAACCCTATTACGCTAGCATTGTTCCACCTATAGCAATTTATATGTATTGTTACATCACAGACAGGAAGTGACATCATTCAGCTCTCTTTAACAGCATGGTGCAAAAGAAGGCGAGATATATTGTCATTTATTTACATTATTTGAGGTTTATTATGGTTAGGAAGGGAACGGTCAAGCTTAACAATTCAACCCTGTAACGTAAAACTAAGATGGAGTATGATTGTTTTCTTAATGTCCAAACAATATGACATATTCTAGTTTAACTGCTGCCATGTGGACCTTCTCTCTTAAACCACACGAGGAGCAGCAGCCATTTTGTTTCAGTAACTCAACCCATCACACTCGACCCCGTCACTCATCTCATTGTTTCAGGGTGTAATCTTGTAACAGGATTGAGATTTTCTCCTAATTTATCAAGAACATTTCAGTAAATATACACTGACTATAACTTTATTTAGTCACTGAGAGAATATCTGAAGCAGTGTTTCCACTGAAACTGTGACACAATCTTATCTCAGACATGGCGCCCGTATCAGCAGCAGATTTTATATTGAATGTGTCCCGAGTTTCATCATGAGTTAAAGCTGATCAAATCAGAACATGTGAAGTGAAAAAGACTTTAATTATGTAAACAGTTCATTTGCTCATCTCTATGTCATGTGACAATTAGCCAACGTTAGAGAGGGGGTCATTAAGGGCAGAATTCATATTAATATTAGAGATAAAGAGGCTTCAGCTGTCAAAAGGTTGAGGAATATCTGGGGCCTGTTTCAGTAAGGAGGTTCAAACAACTCAGAGTTTAAACTTGAACTCTGAGTTGATTTAGCGAGAGATTA